GAAAGAAGGAGAAAGAAACATGTATTTATTTTTTTAAAAAAGAATTATTTACTTAATTCCATTTGTTATTATTATTTTTTATTTCACCAGAGATAGAGAAAGTGAGAAAGCAAACCGCCAGGTCCTAGACTTCCTAGACTCGAACTACAGCCAGCCATGTGGGGATACAATGCCTTTAACCACCACACGGCCTGCTAGTCCCGAAATACATATTTTTGACAGAATTTCACTGTATCATGATCCTCCTACTCCAACTTCCCTATGTAGGACCTCTCTAGGACCAAAGGCACACACCATCACCACCCCAACCTGTTTAGATTGAACCGGGAACTAAATATGGGCCTACCATATGGCCGTAGGCACCATCAAGTGGCATCCTCTTGTTTGTGCCACCACAGGTAGGCCAGGACTATACTTTTAAAGCAACACCCAAGTAGGAGGAATAAAAAAATAATTTAAAAGAAAGACAGTCATAGTCATGACAACTAAGAAGTAAAAAATAATCTAAATAATAAGAAAGTAGATCCAAATGAGCTATTATTATTTCCTAAGCACAGTGGAATATGTGTGTGTGTGTATGTGTGTGTATGTGTACTTCTAACAACAAGTATGTGAATACTGATAGATAAAAAGGTATGTAAAAAATAATGCCAATTAAATCACAAAATAGCGCATATATTGATTTTAACTCTTATATACATTAATGATGTATGGAAAAGAGTTTGGAAATAAGAGTTTAAAATTCAATAGGCTCGGGGCTGACAGGTGGTATGGTGATTGAAGTGCTGAATTCTCACATGGCTGGTCATGGTTTGAGTCCCAGACCTGGAGGCTTGCTTTCTCACTTTCCTTTTCTCTCTCTGGTCAAATTTGAAAAAATGAAATTTAAAAAAAAATTATTTTTTAAATAATTATTTATTCAATTTTATTATTACTACTATTTTATTTGACCAGAGAGAGAAAGTTAGAAAGCAAAGCATCATGTCCAGGATTCAAACCATAGTCCAGCACTCTAACCACCACACACCTGCTGACCTTAAACTATATAATTCTTAAAAATTGGGACCAACAGGTGGCATGGTGGTTAAGGCGCTGGACAGTCCCACATGGCCGACCAGGGTTCAAGTCCTGGACCTGGTGGCTTGCTTTCTCACTTTCTTCTCTCTCTCTGTGTCTCTCTCTGGTTAAATTAAAATGAATGAATGAATGAATAAATAAAGGAATAAATCTTTAGAAAAATAAAAATAAAAATAAAAAAGAAAGGGACTGGCAGGGGGGATGATGGTTAAGGGTGCTGGACTTCTACATGCCTGATCACGGTTTGATTACGGTTCAAGTCCTGGACCTGGTAGCTTGTTTTTTCACTTTCTCTCTCTCTCTCTCTGTCCCTTTCTGGTCACATTAAAATAAATAAATAAAAAGTTAAATAAAATAATTCTTTAAAAACTAAATAAAACAAAAACTCAATAGGCTCTTTTCAAGATAAATTGTAGAGAGTAATAACTTCCCAACAATTACCTGCAATTTCCCCTAATATTCTTTACCCAAAGATCAGAATTTAAAAAAAAAAGAATATAGGTAATAGAACAATGAAAAATTTTATAAGATAAGTATGTAAGTTTAGAAGAAAAGCTTAAGTGATCAAATTAAGATAGTTTGTTATCAGGACCAGCAGATGAAGTAATGGTCACATCACTGGACTCCCAGGTAGCTGACTGTGGTTCATGTTCTGAACCTAACAGCTTAAAACTCACTCCAGGCATGTGTACGTACATGCCCAAAATCCTGAGAGGAGAATGAAGAGGAAAGGACTGCAGTGTAGCCGTCCCCCCTTTGGGGTGATTTCTCACTTTCTGCTTCTCTGTCTCTCTGATAAGCACATGCACCCTATACCAAAAAATCCCTCTTCAAAAAAAAAAAAAAGATAGTTTGTTATATTTTTATATTTTTACTATAAGCCTCTTAATGAGCTAAAAGTTTTCAGACGAACTAAGCCCCTAACAGGATTTCAAGGCAATTGTTTCACTGTATTTAAAATGGTAGCTACATTTTTATAAATAAAAATGTTTTCCATGTAATACTTTAGTCAAGATAAATAAATACACATTTAAATATCAAAGAATAGCCCATTAAATGTACACAAACTATATACTTACATATATTAGAAACGTGAATAACTGTTATAAGACTAACAAAAATACCCTGAATACATTCCCAAATATAATACTGTTCAGTTCTCAGCTTACAAGCAATCGTGTGCACAATCACTTCCTAAACATTGCTCTGAACTCTTGCTGCCATACAAGCCACCATGAAAACCAAAGACTAAGCTGCCTGCTGTGTTCTTCTATGCAGAGCTGAAGACGGGAAGAAGTCTTGGAAAGGAGGAGCAGTGAAAAGCACAGTTAAAGGGGCTGACCTAAGGGACACTCTCGTAACCCAGATTAACACGATAATTTTTTCTTAGACTTGCTGAGAATCCACCAAGAGAGTTATGCAGACTAATGAGGTCTGTCCATTTATCAAAATCAATACCACTGAAATAATGAAATGGCTATACTTCACTACACAGTACTAGGAATTGTTTAATCTGCTGACTTCTTTTCTACAGTCTAAATGAAGCAAGCTGCGACCGGAGAGAACGCGAGAGGAAGCCGTACTGAGCCTTTCACTACGGCAATTTCCCCAGGGTGTATGTTTCTCAGAATGCTTCAGTTTTCAAAACTGTTTACCATTTCTCCTTCCTAATTAAACTTTTCATTCACTAGACTAACAAAATATATCTTTTCTCACATTTCTAACGAAGTTTACATGCTTAAGAACCAATAGCACCTTAAAAAAATCAACTCACCTGAAATTAATTTTTAACATAAGCGAACATGAGAAGCTTTTAAAATTTTTCTTTAAAATAGGTTTTATCCTCTTGAAACTCCTTCTCTTCTCTCAAATTTCAGCCTCATCATACTTTCTCCTTACATGCATGTAACTTCACTACACATTCATTTGTTAGAGATAATAATAAAGAGAACCTTAATTCAGCCAATAAATGGACACACTATATTTAAAGAAATATCTTAAGAGAATATTTATCAACGGATTCTTACTTTGCTTTAATTTATGGAAATCACCGACTCTATCCTTGGTAGCCTGCTTTAGTGTATCTGTTTGAATTTTGGATTCACTCTCCAAGTTTGGGCCTGGAATTAAACGCTGAAGAGGATTGGGAGGGTTCTGTTTTGAAGTGCCAGGGTTTCCGTTGTGGTTTGTATGTGAATCTGTGACATAAAAACATCAAATTAAAAGAACATAATTATTTTACAGAATAATTTCATAAGACCTACTTTAAGAACTTATGGCATACTGTTGTCTAACACTGAATAGTTACCTACCTTTGCTTTTTTTTCCTTCTCTTTATTTCTTTAATCCACCCCCGCCCTTCTTTTCTAATTTGCCAGAGGGTACATGCACTCACCAGAGAGAAAGGAAGAGAGCAATTCCCAGTGGGGCATGATCATGCTGCAATCCCTTCTCCTCCATTTCTCCATTCTGTTGGGATTTTAGGCAAGCAAGTTCATGCACCTGGTGTTTTGTTTTTGTTTTTAAGAGCGATTTTTGCTATAGGGTGCATGCACTTGTCAGAGAGAGACACAGAAAGTAAGAAATCACCCCTCAGAGGGGATGGCCAAGCTGCAATCCCTTCTCTATTCTCCTCTTGGAATTTTGGGCATACATGCACATGCACCCGGTTTGAGTTGTAAGCTGCTGAGTCTAGGACTCGAACCACAGTCAGCCATGTGGGAGTCCAGCAGCATAACCATTACACTATCTGCTGGTCCCCCTGGCATGCTTTTGCTTGTTTTTTAAATTTGCTATAGGGCATGTAGGCTCATCAGAAAGAGCAAGGGAAAGTGAGAAAGCACCGCTGGTGCTGCAATCCCTTCTCCACTCTTTTCTCAGGATTTTGAGCATACATGCACAGTGCCCAGTGAGTTTCTCAAGCTACCAGGACCAGGACTTGAACTGCACTGTCAGCCATATGGGATCCAGCTGCCCCAACCACTATGGTACCAGACGGCCCAATGCCTGGTATGTTTTGCAGCCACCAGGGCTGGGATTTGAAGTGTTGGTCAGCCACAAGAGATCGGCTTTCTTAACCAGTATACCACCGGGCCAGTCCACTTTTTTTATTTTCTTTTTGTTAAGAGAGAGATTTTTGCCATAGGGCGTGTGTGCCTGCTGGAGAGACAGAGACAGAGACTGAAAGCGAGAATTCACTCCCCAGGGGGCATGGTCATGCTGCGATCTCTTCTTTTCTATTCTCATCTTGGGATTTTGAGCAGTCAGGCACACATGCCCAGGGTGAGTTTTAAGCCTCAGGGTCCGGGACTCAACCACGGTTGAATATGTGGAAGTCTAGCAATGTTATCATTATACCATCTGCTGGTCCCAGAAGCCAGCCCTCTTTCATAAATTTTGTAACCAATGTGACTTGGCTGTGAGTTTACTAATCATTTCTAGGTAAGTATCTTCACTACTGATTATAAACCTAGGGGATATACAGTAGAAATCCAAAAATTAATATTGCAATGATAGCCAAATACTGTCCTCTTTTCGTATTCCATATTGCTATCAGATTTCCAAAATTTCCAAAATCAAATAGGACTTTTGAAATTTGTAACCTTTAAGTTATCTTCGTCTACATAGTGACTCACAACAACTAACGTTTGATTCTTTCTTAGCAGTATCTCCTAGATATAACCTCCCTTATCCCAAGGGAGGATTTTTTTTCTTCAAAGTCTTGATTTAACTCCTTATTACAATTTATTTTGGGTTCAAAAACTTCTATGCCACTCTAGTTCCCATATCTGTCCTTTCCAACATCTGTTTAAACAACTCTCTTCAATCATACAATTCTTATTCTAGAAGAACATTTCTATAAAAATCAAATAGGTGTCCAGTAGAAAGCAAATAACGTTTTTTTTTTTTTTTGGAGAGGTTTTGGCTATAGGGCGTGTGCGCTCGCCAGACAGAGAGAAACATAGAGACAGAAAGTGAGAAATCACCCCCCAGGGGAGATGGCCACGCCGCAATCCCTTCTCCTCCGTTCTCCTCTCAGGATCTTGGGCACGCATGCACATGTGCCCGGCATGAGTTTTAAGCCACCGGGTCCGGGACATGAACTGCGGTCGACTACGTGGGAGTCCAGCGACATAGCCATTACGCTAACTGCTGGTTCCCAAATAACGTTTTTTTAAGCACAAAATAAAAAATTTAATATGTGTGGGTACAGTAATTTATAAAAGCCTCAGTGAAATAAATTTGAACAAATTTTGAAGAGAAAGTAAATCTATATAGCCTTGCAGAGATGAAAGAATGTAGCCCAGGGTAGCACAAGTAATTAATTCCTCTGCTCCTAAGAATTTGACTACAATAACTCATTAGACAAAAATCCACTTTAGATGATGATTTCTACCTGAGCTTTTACCAATAATTTTAAAACGCAAAGCACTAACTCAAAAAATGAATGCTACTTCACTATACTGCTAAATGACATGTTCCATTCACTATATAACAATACAAGACCAGTAAATTCATTTTTGAATGGAATTCTAAGAATAAGACTTCATACCTGCAGCCAAATTTGGGGAGAGAGGTTGTCCTGTTGGAAGCTGGAAGATTGCTTGATGACTTTCATGCTGAGAAACTGAAATAGGGGGCTTCTTTAAACCTAAAAGCAAAAAATAGGTCCATATTATTCCCACTGATAGTATTTTCAAAACCCAACCACTATTAATCTACTTCGCACTAATCCTATGATGTTTATTCTAACTCTGTAATCCTTATCATTGGTAAGTTCATTTTTGTTACTAATTGATACACTGTATCATCCATTATAGATTTTCATGATCAATAAATCCTACCTGAATATAAACTCCATTATAGTATTGGTTGTCAGAAAAGTCATGACATATTTTGTCTATATTTTTCAAAGGTCGTTTATTTAAATAAAGAACAAAGACCAATCAATGATATAGTGTCTGTTTTCTTCAATAACCTTTTGCTATCTTTTAATAAGCTTCATAATTCCTCATTCATAGAAGAACCTGTCTTTATCAGCAAAATACTGAACAAGGTGCTGATTTACAGCCTCGAATGAATCGAGCATTATACCACATAAGGAGTTTTGAAGAGAGCGAAACAAGGTGAAGTCTGATGGCACAAAGTCAGGTGTATGGTGGATGTGGCAACATATCCCACCCAAGCTCCAGTAATTTTTGATGGGTGATTAAACATGTGCATGATCTTGCACTGTAGTGATGGAATATGATTCTTACAGTTAACAAGCTCTGGACCTCTTGATGATGGATTTGTTCAAACTGTCTAATTGCTAACAGGACACACTCAAATTGATTGACTTGTTCCTTGATAGGAACTCAAAAAAAACAACACCTTTAAAAATCTCACCACATTGGGGCCGGCAGGTGGCGTGGTAGTTAAAGGCACTGTATTCCCACATAGTCAACCGTGGTTTGAGTCCTGGATCTGGCAGCTTGCTTTCTCGCTTTCCTGTTCTCTCTGTCTCTCTTTGGTGAAATTAAAAACAAAACAAAACAAAACAAAAACAATAATAACAAGTGGAAATAAATAAATAAATAAATAAATAATTCTTTTTTTTAAAAAAAATCTCACCACACTGAGAGCATAACCTTCCTCTGATGAGTGTCTACTTTCAATGTCATTTGAGGCAAATCATCACATCAGGACCAAGACTATTTGTATACAACACTGTTGTAAACCAATCCACTTCTCATCATCGGTTATTGGTCACTTCAGAAAAGAAAAGTTTTCCTCACATTTAATAAACATATCACAGAAGTTTATATACACCATCAAATGAACTTCTTTGAGTTCATGAAGAACCCAGGTATCAAGCTTGCTTACGAATCCCACCTCTCCAGGTGGTCGTGAATACTTGAACAAGGGACAGTCAATGTTTCTACAACCTCTCATGTTGTGCAACGTGGGTTTGACTTGATCAATGCCTTTATCTTGTCGTCATCGACCTCAGTGGGTAGTGTGCCTCCCTGATTGAGGAGTGACACTGAGGTCAAAATCACCAACATGGAATTTCATGAATCATCACAGACACTGACGTTCGTGTAGAGCATTGTCACTGTAAATTTTACGTGACTTTTCACAAGTGTGATGCGTGTTCTTCCTTTTATGGAAGTAAAAGAATAAAATATTGCAAAAATGCACAGTTTGGTCTTCCATCTTCAACTTGTAAAATCTCCAAAACTCAATCACATCATTTAATTTTTTTCTTTTTAGAATGAAGCTAGAACTGTCAGCTGTCAAATGACATAGCAGTAACATAGATACAAATGACTCTAGTACTTCCAAAAATGAACTAGTGCCATCTGTTGCAAAAATGCATCATGACTTTCCCGACAACCCAATATAAACTTGTTCACCACTCTATCCCTAACACCTGGAATAGTGCCTAGTGCATAAAAAGACCTCAACAAAGGCTTGATCAATATATAAATAAAAAATTGACATTTGCAGATTAGGTAAAGCATAAAGAATATACTAATCTGAGCCATTCGGATTCTAAATAAAATCTAAATATGACTAATTCAACAAATTGAAATTTTATCTTGAAGATGGAAAATTTAATTTTCATACAAAGTGCTTTACTCACAAAGATGCACATATTTATAAATGAGATTTTCTTATCTCTTAAGAAAGGAAAGCAACAAGGAAAGAGATGATTGTTCACTCACTACCACTGACTCCATTTATCACCATGACTAAAAGTAAAGAAACTAAAGAGACAAGAAACAGATAAAAAGAAAAAAAAAGTACAGGGCCCATCTATTAAGATATGGGGAGTGGCATGTTTTATTTCTCTAAGAATTCAGGGCAGAGATAATGTTATGTGATCCTATTTCATTATATTTTTTCCTGGGTGCTAGAGAAGATCATCCTTCCTCTGTGGCTAAAGGTCCAGGGTCATTGGTTCTGAACCTGAGGATACAGGTGAAACTTAATGTGCCACTTCTAAGTCTGTTCATAAACTATGTACAAATCACCTATAATCTCTCTTTCTGTCACAACTTAGGAGTCTACATATGAAGACAGTGGCATCATATAATGGAAGGGGTCATAACTTGAAGGACAACTATGAAGAGAGCCACTGAACCTGCATCAGACTATAAATGAACAATAAATAAACCTTTATTTATTTTCATTCTTCCAAAGGGCATATGCATTCATTAGACAGAAACAGGGGGACAGGGAGTGAGAAAACATTCCCCATGAAGAATGGCCATGCTGCAATCCCTTCTCTTCTATTTTACCCTCTTTTCGGGATTTAGGGCACGTGTTAAAAGCTGAACAGTGTGTTTTTCAAGCTACTGGGTCCAGGACTTGAACTATGCAGTCAGTCCTGTGGGATCTAGATACAAGGAAAGGAGATTTCCTTTTATTTTTGTTTATTTATTTATTTTTGCTATAGGGCATGTGTTCACCAGAGACAACAGAGGAGAAGGAAAGTGAGAAAGCAACTGCTGTGGGGGATGACCACACTACAATTCCTTCTCCATTCTCCTCTTGGGATTTTGGGTACACATGCACACACACACACCAAGTGCGTGTGCAGGTACTTGCCAGAGAGAGAAAGAGAGAGAGAGCAAGTAAGGGAAGGCAAGAAATCACCCCAGTGAGGGTGGCCATGTTACAGTCCCTTCTCCTCCGGTCTCCTCTTGGGATTTTGGGCACACATGCCCATACATTCAGTACAATTTTCAAGCCACTGGATCTTCGACTTGAACTGCACAGTTGGCCATGTGGGATCCAGTCGCCTTAACCTCCACACCACCTGCTGGCCCTAGGAGATTTATTTGTACCTAGGAAAGGAGTTCCCAGAGGCTAAAAGTAATAGTTATAGTGAACAGTACTGAAATAAATGAAGATCTGGAAAAACGCTACTAGACTTGGAGACAACTAAGTGGTAATCTTACCCTTCACTTTTATATGGAATTCTTTAACATTTTTCCTGTATACATACAAATATCTAATTTTTCCTATACAGAAAATTAGACTACACTTTTTTTGTAACTTGCTTTTTTCATTAAAAAAAAAAAAAGACATGGGACCAGCAGTTGGCATAATGGCTATGTCACTGAACTCTAATGTAGTCAATCACAGTTCGAGTCCCAGACCCAGTGGCTTAAACTCATGCTAGGCACATGTACATGTGTGCCCAAGATCCTGAGAGGAGAGTGGAGGAGAAGGGATTGCGGCATGGCCATCC